GGCATTGATCCAAAAAGCCTCAAGGAGTTTTCGCCCTGGTGTTTTGGACTCCTGTGCAAGGATATTGACTTTTACTTCAAAACCGTTTCCGCTATGCTTTTGTATCCTATACGTTCCTAGTGGGGTACTTCGTCTTAGTTTTCGTTTGCCATCTAGGTGTTCTTTTATACGGATACACAAAGGTCTGCCCGTTTCGCCAATATATTCATCTCCCGCGATTATTACAAGAGATCAGGTATATCGTACCTGAACTCATGCAATCACCGTCCCTGCCGTAAGGGCAAATCACGCAATTTGTTGTTTCATACAGACGGTCACACAGGCGGTTGCGAACTAATTGGGGACGTAGAGTAGCCGGTGGTATTTCAGTTATCGCTACCGATTCCTCTAGACCTGCTCTTCTTAAGCATCGTTTTATAGCTACGCTTACTTCATCGCTTATAAAAGGCAACATGAACGGGGCTATCTTTTGGCCAAGTGTTTCGCGTGGGCGCGTCGTTCTCCTTGTGAACTTATCTCGTGGGGTTTTCTATTTCGTAGCCATTGGAGATGGTTATTTGCCGAGCCAAGTCGCGCGATTCTTCCTTTAGTTCCCTGGTAGTGCACACAGAGGTGGCTGTTCGAAACATGTTTCTCACAATCGCCCTCTTTGTGTGTGAAGGGTGGGAAGAAAGGAAATGAACAAGGATGTTCTTGTTACTTGGCTTTCGATACCACTTTGTCAGGTAACCGCTACTTGATAGGTTTATTTGGACGTCCAAAAACGGAAGCCAGTTTTCTCTCGGTTTCTCCCGGGTGAACTTTATGTACTCGGACCGCTCGTTCAATAATTCAAAGCATTTGTCCATCTCCTCCTGCGTAGAGAAGACGACAAAACAATCATCTACATATCTGCAGTAGAGTAGTGGCCGGAGATCGAGAACAGGGGCTTCTATCTTAGACATAAACACAATGACAAGGCTTGGTGCCAATCGCTGTCTCATTGCCAACCCCCTTATTTGCGCGAAGTATTTCGCAGACCATCTGAAAATCGAGCAGTTTAGGCACTCCCTTAAGATAGCCATTAGGTGCTCGATGGACAAGCCATGCATATTTATTCTTCCTTCATGTTCAACAAGAAGTTCGAGGATGGCTTACATTGCGGAGTCATTCGATACGTTGGTGTACAGTGCGGTAACGTCGAAAGACTCCATCACGTACGCGTTATTAGGAGACGCGTTACGTAGACGTTCTAGGAACATTTGGCTGTTTGTGAGGTGAGATGGAATGTGGTTAAGCAACTGGGTAAGTATCAGGCTTAAAAACCAGGTTATTCTATCCGTTGGCCCGTCTACACAGCTGATGATTGGTCTAACCTTAAATGATGACGGATTGGTTGACGCATGATCATCAGGTGATACCAACTTATGTGTTTTTTTTTTAATAAGTAGGTATAGGACGGGACATGTTGGTCTATCGATTTTAAAGTGCGAAATAACCGATGATTTTAAACCCGCAGCCTTTGTCACGCTGACCCATTGATTGTGTAGCTTTTGGTATTGACTTTTATATTCCTTTTCAGAGGATAGGCGATAGAGAGTAGCATCACTAAGATGTTCCTCTGTTATCTCAACATCCAGCTGGCGAGGGATAACTACGAACTCTCCTCCCTACCAGGGAACTAAAGGAAGAATCGCGGGACTTGGTTCGGCAAATAGCCATCTTCAATGGCTACGAAATAGTAACCCCACGAGATAAGTTTACAAGGAGAACGACGCGCCCACGCGAAACACTTGGCCAAAAGAAAGTCCCGTTCATGTTGCCTTTTATAAGCGATGAAGTAAGCGTAGCTATAAAACGATGCTTAAGAAGGGCAACTCTAGAGGAATCGGTAGCGATAGTTGAAATACCACCGGGTACTCTACGTTGCCAATTAGTTCGCAACCGCCTGTATGACCGTCTGTGTGAAGCAACAAATTGCGTAATTTGCCCTTACGGCAGGGACGGTGATTGCATGAGTTCAGGTACGATATACCTGATCTCTTGTAATAATCGCGGGAGATGAATATATTGGCGAAACGGGCAGACCTTTGTGTATCCGTATAAAAGAACACCTAGATGGCAAACGAAAACTAAGACGAAGTACCCCACTAGGAACGTATAGGATACAAAAGCATAGCGGAAACGGTTTTGAAGTAAAAGTCAATATCCTTGCACAGGAGTCCAAAACACCAGGGCGAAAACTCCTTGAGGCTTTTTGGATCAATGCCAAAAACCCTACAATGAATAGCAGGGATAAATGCCCGAGGTCACACGCGACCTGATCCTGTACGTTCGCATCGATTTTTGATGTGGGATGGTGCAGTCGTCAACCACATGCGACTATAATCAGCTGTTCTAAACTTCCTCATTGGAAGTCACGAAAAAGCGGTGGGTTTTTTCGAGAAGTTGTTGATCATGTAATTACCNTTTTGAAGTAAAAGTCAATATCCTTGCACAGGAGTCCAAAACACCAGCGCGAAAACTCCTTGAGGCTTTTTGGATAAATGCCAAAAACCCTACAATGAACAGCAGGGACGAATGCCCGGAGGTCATACGCGACCTCATCCCGTACGTTCGCAGCGATTTTTGATGTGGGATGGTGCAGTCGTCAACCACATGCGACTATAATCAGCTGTTCTAAACTTCCTCATTGGAAGTCACGAAAAAGCGGTGGGTTTTTTCGAGAAGTTGTTGATCATGTAATTACCAAAGAGTTTTTCGTCTTTTTGTAAGTGTCATTGGAGCGTTTAGCCTAGTAGATTGTATATCAGAATACCCTTCCAGGCTCTGAAGAAGGCGATACTGCCGAAACATCAGCTAGCGTTGTATTGTATTGCGTTTTTATGGAAGTAAATGTATGCTGTTTAAAAACCTCGCGATTGCTGAACAAGTAAATAATTGGTTAAAATTGTGATCATAATTGCAGCCTCAGCTTCACTGGGATCGTTGCCGATTTGGACCCCCCCAGATCAATCACGCTGACCGATACTTGCTGATGGCAAGTAATCGATAGAACTGGCTGAGAGAGAGGCGAAACGAAGGACCCGCATGGTGTGGTAGTGAGCGCGTTACTCCCCGGAAAGGACAATAGCGCGTTCGTTTCCCACCGCAGACACCTGCGGTCCGGAACTTTGCAAATATCTCAGCAATCTCGTAGTTGTATTTCGCTTAATACTGTGCCATAAAAATTATAGAAGGCAGCAAATAAAAAGTAAACTTTATGTTACCCTTGTACTTAATTCTAAAGAAATCGTGTACAAGTGATAAAGCAGATGTCCCGTAGGAGTATCACGCACGGTGGTTATCGAGATATTATCGGCAATTGCTAATAAAATTGGCCTGTTTCACTTTTTGGGAAAAAGCAACTTGTGAATTTTTTTCCTTAACAGTTAAGAATCCTTTTATCGGCCTTTAGCAAGACGTTAGCTGTACAGCCATTAAATAACAGCATTGTTTCTCTTGAGGAAAGTGGCTCATTGGCGCTTTATGTCAGTAGGTCTTCTTGAGCAAAAGCTCTCGAAGAGGCTAAAATTTTAAGCTAATGTGATTTACGAAATGGAATCTCACGGCTTATTTACCTCTGCTGCTTCCTTTCTTCGGGGGAGGGTTTGTACTCAGAGATGCTTTATTGGAAGTGTAAGTAGGCCTCTAACTGTCATTAATTAGCGTCTCTGAAGATTCAGAATGAGTCACATTTTCTTTTCTTTAAGTCATGAAGCTTTGAAAGGATTCGAAATACTGTTTACCAAATAGTAAGCTTACTATATTTAAAAAGTCCTACTTACAATCCACCGGCGATCTCTTGGTGGAAATTTGTACGTTTCATCTTTCAGCGCCGAAGGTTCCTACTTTTTTTGGCTTGGAATGTAAACTAGGAAGGAAGAAAGTAGACATCTGCGTTCAGTCATGGATTGAGGAAACCTCATCCGTACAATATAAATCAGACTGCTTTCAAAGTGGTTTTAAGAGAGAACTGAAGCACAAGTTCTGGTGTTAAACGTTACTGTTCGACATTACAGCAACCACATTTAAACTGATTCGCTTAACTGAGTTTTTTTAATAGTAACACGTTTTCACTCCACATGTAGAGTAGCGATCACGAATTCTCGCATGAGGCGTAGCGGTCGGAGGCACCCTGCAACACACGCGTGGAATCGATCTCCGCACCCATGGCCCACCAAACCTTCAATCCCTCTGGGGTCGGCAAATTGGTACCAGACTTTTCTGGGAGGATAGCAGCACTGGCGCGATACGCCGATAGGGCATCGCGAGTTATTGTAAGGACCAGATATGCATTCAATCACCTCGAAACGATGTTGATAAAGTCGAATGGATGGCGCATGCCTCAGGGATTAATCAACGCCGAGAGCTTCATCCTTTTTTAATCCTTACTACGAAGACGAGGACTACAAAACATTCTTCTGGCTGGTACATTTGTTATTTTCGAGAGAAAACAAACCTTTTCGACGTTAACAAATGTGCATTTCCACTTAATTCACTGATTAACTGAGTTAATTTGGCCTGTATACTGGCCAAACGAGTTGAGTTTCACACTTTAGAAAGCAAAAGTGGTAAAGCACAATGCGCTCAACAATGATCAATCCCAGAAGGATACGCCATTCATTTGGTTCCATTAAAGTGACTGGATGCATATTTTGCTTAGGAAAGGATTGCAGTGGCTTACACATGTATCAAGCTAGCGTTTCTATTCTTGCAAACAGCTCTGGTACCAATTCAGCTCACCACCTCTTATCACCTGATACAAGCTTCCTGTAGGAACGATTCTAGTCGCAGGAATTCTCTCTAACTTCTCCGATTCTTTGCTTGGCGATTTGATTGATTATTTGTGAAGTTTTACCGTTTGGTGCTGTGCTACACCCACTTCGCGTACTATATTACTAAAAAGCTATAAACTGCTATAATGCTTTATTACCGACCTCTGAGGTCCGAAGGCGCACTCAAGGAGATATTGTCCCGGTAGTCAGTGCGAGTTGAAGTCGCTGAAACGTTTTCTCTTTACCTAAAGTTTTTCATCTCACTAAAACTAGTGTGAAATTTTTCCTATAATAGCCACACGCCCACACAATGTCATTTTTTCAACACATTCTGCTTCGACATAAGTGATCTTTTCGTCCAGTAGTAATTCAAAACTTTACAAGCAAAGCCTTGAATCTCTAGGTAAAAGTGGTGCTATTATCGAAATGACTTGAACCATTACAGGAATTTCAGATCAGCATCGAATGGAAAACCGACTTTCATCAGGTTTGGAAAACGAGCGCAACCCAGCTTTATTCGATTCGGCCGAGCACAACCATCGTTCATCAGATTTGGAAAGAAAGATGCCACCTTTTAAGACAAACTGCCATCCGATCCTATCTCTAAGCCTAGACCCAGAATCTCCTTAGTTTAGCGTTTCAATTTACAACACTTATTCAATTCTATGAGCAACTGATTCATTTTTGTTTCTTTTGACATAATATCACTGTTTGTAGTGAAGAATATTATATTAGATGAAGTAACAGTAAAAATATTGCTGTGATTCGCATGAAACTTGAACAACTGCACCACATAAAACGTTAGAAAGTCCTGAAATATCTTCCGATGAAATAGACAGAGACCTGTGATTGAGCCTGTGCAACCAGCACTTCGGCTCTGATTCTCATTTCTGACCGAGGATATTCGAATCCATCCACCTGGTGAGTGAAGATTTCAGCTCAATGAAACCTTTTACTTCATTGCCGATTGTTAAGTAAAAGCACCATAGCACAACAATAAATAAGAGCTCTGGAGAAAAGCGATGAAATATTTATATCGAGTGAATGAATTTTTTCATATTTTTACATTACCCCGTTATCACATCTACTGCGCGGGCCCCAGCGTTTCCTGCATTCAATTCGCATCCTTGCATCAACATCCACAATGCCTTCCAACATTTCACCTGCTGTTTGGGCTGATGTTTGAAGATTTCGTCTTTTTTAAGGGTTTCGTAGAGTGCTGGCTGAGCCGATTCTCCTCGAGTTTTTAGAGAGCTTCCGGCTAAGGCGCTCCCACGTAGATTGAAGGGCATCGTTGAGGAGGAGGTCAAACCAGAGCATTATAACCACTGCGCTACTCCTCCTACCTTGTCCCACATTTTTCGGAATATTCTCAACATTTCTTCAATTTACAAGATGATTAGCACCTGTCTCCTGACTGTCTACGACTTGATAACTTCGCTTGTCGTTTGCTCAGTCGCATTGAGCCATATCCCTTCCAGCTTTGAAGACCCACAGAAAGGATCTTGTTCATTTGAAAGCTGCGAAATGAAGGCAGTCGTCTAATATTGATTGAATTTGAGTACTAGAAAATCCTTCTCTCGAAATCCATGTGTAGATTATGAATGAGTCATATGTTCAACAGTAAAAAATTAAAGCCAAGATGTTTCAAAAATAATTATATATAAATATAATTATATGATAAATCACGTCGCTTTTTCGACTTCTCGAGCAATTGAATCTGCTAGAACCCCAAAAATTAACTTAACTGCAGGGAAATACATTGCTGGGAAACAACTAACGCCTCTCTGTGTGCTGAAAACGTTGAAATCTATTAGATAAATCTCAACTTTGTTTCAGAAAATCATATTCCAGTGCCAAGGCTCGTCAAACCTGCCGTCTGTCCGGCGTCGGCAAATTAGTACTAAACCTGTCTGGGGGAGTGCAGCACCGGCTCGATACATCGGTAGACCACCGCTAATCATTGTGTGAAGCAGATTCACATTCACTTACCCCTAACGATCCATCGTGAAGTCGAATGCACGGCATAATCCTCACGAATTGATCAACGCAAAAATGTTTGGTTTTTTAAACTACTTTCCCCTGCTTCCTTCCAAAAAAAGAATGCTCTTCGAACTATACACTGTCTCAAAGCTCCTTGTTTGATTTCTAACTTTTTTCTAGTCCTGACAAAAAAGTATACTGCACCTCACTCAACATCGACAGTGTGCTCCTCTTGTAGGTACCTGTCATTACTTTCACACCATCCAAATTTTTATCATTAAAAAATCATCACGTTTCAAAATCTCTACTCGCTACTCTAACCATTTCATTTGCTAAAAGGATAAAAGGACAAAGCTTTCGACGTTGATCATTCCCTGAGGGATGCACTATGCATTAGACTCCATTAGGCATCGCTGGAGGTGATTGAATGCATATCAGGCCTTTACAATCGCGTTGGCCTACCGATGTATCGATCCAGTGCTGCTATCCTCGCAGACAAGTCTGGTACCAATTTGCCGACTCCGGAGGGAGGGATCGAAGGTGTGAAGAGCCACGGGTGCGGGGAATGATTCCACGTGTGTATTGCAGGGCGCCTCCGACCACTGCAGCACATGCGCCCCTCTTGGTTTCGAATATTCACCTCGGAGTCATACCGTTGTGATGAGTTTTCATTATGACCAACTGTGTATGCAAATCAAGAAAATTTGGGCTATATTTCTTCTATCCTCAAATCTTTTTCCTTTACTTTTAACAGCCCACACCCACAGAATTCTGGGATTCTTTTCCTTTTTTCATACTTCTTTTCTCTGCACTTCGCCAGCTCTACTCTTCATACTCAGCTGAATGTCACTACTTTTCCAACGAGCGTTTCCCCGAGTGGAGTTCTTTCCAGTGGATTCGAAGAATACCAAGTAACATTTCAACGTCGATAAAAGTGACAATTTCACAGCAACGATCCACCCACACTTTCCAAAACGCCGGAACTATTCAACGGATTCTTAACTCTCAAATTTATCATACCTGTTAATTTGAGACAAGATATTAGTAGATGTTGAGGTCCCTCTGCGGAAATTCTGGCATTTTGTCAGCTGTCTACCCGTCGTAAGTAACTTCTGCAGTCCAAACAGTTTAGCAAATACACGACGACATGACCTCTACAAGAGTCATTTGTAGCGGAAATTTAGTCTGTAAGATCTTTAAATAGCTCATTTCTTACGGGTGTCGAATACTGATGTGTGCAGAGGGTTTTCTCACATTTTTTATGATCAATCGACAGCTTATCTAGTGCTAATGTTATAGGCCATCGTCCACGGAAAGCTGTTTGACAATTTCTTCCTCAATATCTACAGAAAAACTTTTTTGAACGAGTTTATTAAGTACACGAGGAACCGTTGCATTTGGGGGTTGTCTACACCATAAAGACATTGACCTTTTAGGAAAAAACAGAGACACTTCTGCTGTTCTCGAACATTGAAGTTCGGCACTTAACGAAGGTTTTTCGCCACGATACGACGGTCAATCACCGAGAAGACATCTTCGCAGTGGCTCGGTGTCCACTCCATCATTGTACTTCAACAGAATTTGTTTTTTAAACAGCTGTCGAGTCTTATTATCACGATCATAACTGATGACTTGGAAATTAATCTCGAATAGATTTATTGTACAGCATAAAGTCTACAACCTATGCGTAATTACATACAATTTGCATAATCTACATACAACTACCAATCTTTGCACACAGGCTGTATTCCTTACTTACAATTGAAACTCGCCATATAGAGCTTTCAATCCTTGCCTATAATCAATAGTTTTGAGAAAAATTGTGGTATAATTGTATGTTCAGCTTCATCAACAATCTTTAGAAATTCCCAAGACCGACTTTCTGTTAACCTCGGCATTAATTGATAATTCAATGTTTTTTCTTCAATAAGCAGACACGAGGTTGTTAATATAGAATTTATTAGAATACAATAGCAGACGTTTAGGCGGTTTCGCCTTCTTCAGAGCCGTTTATTCGTTGTAAGTATTTAAGTTAGTTGATGGATAGCCGCCGCACAGAGTAACACATGGGCGATAACAACCTCGTGTCTGCTTATTGAAGAAAAACATTGAATCTTTAGAAAGACAAGGAGTACCTTCTGTTTTCACGTGGTATGTCTTATTTTCAACCCTTATTCTTATATGGGGAGAGTGGGGAGGCAGCACAATGGTGCTGATACCGATAATCAGAGCACCGATGCTGGTGTGATACCATCCCGAACCCACGAACTTCTCTTCACACCTCCGAGGTCGGGAAATTGCCACCAGTCTTGTCTTGGAGCAGCTAACTCCCTCCAATCTATGTAGAAACGCCTCAGCACTATTATCGTTGGGGAAGGAACTCTTCGACCACCATTCTACGACATTCAAAATGAAGTGGAAGTCCTCAAGCAGCAGCGGGCGAAGCCAAACGTAAAAGTTGGAAGAATTTCGTGAATGACAGAAGCAAGAAAACGAATCGAATATAATGGACACTGGAATCCGCACGGTAGACGTGAAGACGGGTCTTATAAAATAAAGAAAAATATCGTGATAACGTCCCACTGCTTTTATAAACACCTTACTCGATAAGCTTTTTTTACAAGTTAGATGGTTATGTCCTCTTTCATATTCCTTATCGCATAAGCCACATAGCTGCAAGTAAGGTTTTCGGCAAAACACGATAATGTTCCGTAATGAGCCTCCACTTTAGGAATATGTCACTACTAAGCTAAAAAACGTTAAAAATCGTCTTGTACAAAAAGTTTTTAGGATCGAACATTCTAGAATCAAAAGATCCAAAAAGATCACAAGATTGCTTTGTCTTGACTCTGTATTATTTTACACTATAATTGTGTTCTCTGATGCATTGCGAACTCTGCTTTCAAAACTTGGATAGTACTGCGCATTTGTTAACACCAACTAGCACTGATTGTGCCTCTGGTGATCCCTACTATCCTCTCGACCTCAACTTGCACTCAGTTTGCCCTTTGCCATCTCGATCCACATTGCATTCCACAAGTGCCATAATTTGTGTTCATTCTCTAAAACTGCACTTAAGGACTGCAGCACGTGAGTGTAATGCTGCCAGTTCCCTGTGGTCTGCCTTTGTGTAATTTTTCCTCATTTTTCCACTTCCTTTTCTATTCATCGCTTCCTATTTTTTTTTCTCTAACTATTTTTTAACTTTATTAGACAAAGGATATGGGGCGCATGTGGCGCAGTGGTTAGAGGCGCCCTGCAATAGACATGGGATGGATCTCCGCTCCCCAGGCTCACCAAGGCTTCCATCTCTATGGAGTCGGCAAATTGGTACCAGACTTGTCTGTGAGGATAGCAGCAGTGGCTCGATGAATCGATAGGCCACCGCGAGTCACTGTAAAGGCCGGATATGCATTCAATCACCTCCAGCGATGCTTAATGAGGTCTAATGCATGGCGCATCCCTCAAGGATTGATCAGTGCTGTTAGATTTATCCTTTACTTATCCGTTATACAAGGGATATTTGTTTGACATGTTATTTGCTTCTTATACTGCTTAATGATTCCATTACTGAATCTTTCCTCTTTTAATGTCACTTTTGTTCCTTGGTCTTCCATTGTCCTAGCATGTTGATCTATATACTTTTT